CCAACCCAGCAGCACCCCAGCTGCTCTGTCCCAGGTGTACCCAAGTCAGCTGCTGCTGAAACTGACCAGCAGCTGATTCCAAGAAGCTCTGTCTCCGGCTTCCTGGAGTCAGCCGCTGGTCAATTTCAGCAGCAGCTGAATCAGGGAAGCCGGGGGCAGAGCAGCTCCAATTGTCCGGCTGCCCTGAGCACTTCTGGGTTCCAGATGGTGCCAGACCATCAGGAGTGTGGGACCATTGGATGCTGGACCACTGGAGTTTTACTGTAGTTAAATTTTGTGTGAATTTAGAACCAAATAATCTTCCCAGCTCCTAACCTGATACCTCTGTTGAGGGATAGGGATGATCAGAGGACAAATGGGAGAGAAAGCCTCCTTTCCAGGCCACTGGTCTGACCAGTAGCTTTGTAGTTACTCATTCAAAGAGTTGGAACAGTCTCTATGGCTGTTGCTCACCCCTTTTATGGAGAAGACAAACTTCTGTCTAGTTCAAACCTTCCACTAGCTGTAACAGAAGCACTGTTTCAACAAGGACATCAAAGTTTGTACCAAGGATATTTAATTCCTTGAAACGTGACCTCCTGAAATCTCATCCCCGTACTGCTGAGTTCAGTGAACCTTGGGGGGGATAGATATTTGGCTATGTGTGTGTGTGTTCCCTCTGTGTGCCATCTCAGCTCTGTACAGACAATTGGAACATAGGCCAGGATTATTGTTAATGAAGCACAATAATAGCATTTGGCAGACTCTACGGCTGTGTCTACACTGGCATCCCTTTCCAGAAAAGGGATGCTAATGAGACACTTCGGAATTGCAAATCCGTGGGGTTTTTGCCGGAGAAAAGCGCCAGTGTAGACGCGATTTTCCGGAAAATAAGCCCTTTTCTGGGATATCCCTTATTCCTACTTTCAAGGAATTCAAGGACTGAGGCGGCGGGAAGGGGGCTGTGGAGGAGGGTGGCGGTGATGGACTGAGGCGGCGGGAAGGGGGCTGTGGAGGAGGGTGGCGGTGATGGACTGAGGCGGCGGGAAGGGGGCTGTGGAGGAGGGTGGCGGTGATGGACTGAGGCGGCGGGAAGGGGGCTGTGGAGGAGGGTGGCGGTGATGGACTGAGGCGGCGGGAAGGGGGCTGTGGAGGAGGGTGGCGGTGATGGACTGAGGCGGCGGGAAGGGGGCTGTGGAGGAGGGTGGCGGTGATGGACTGAGGCGGCGGGAAGGGGGCTGTGGAGGAGGGTGGCGGTGATGGACTGAGGCGGCGGGAAGGGGGCTGTGGAGGAGGGTGGCGGTGATGGACTGAGGCGGCGGGAAGGGGGCTGTGGAGGAGGGTGGCGGTGATGGACTGAGGCGGCGGGAAGGGGGCTGTGGAGGAGGGTGGCGGTGATGGACTGAGGCGGCGGGAAGGGGGCTGTGGAGGAGGGTGGCGGTGATGGACTGAGGCGGCGGGAAGGGGGCTGTGGAGGAGGGTGGCGGTGATGGACTGAGGCGGCGGGAAGGGGGCTGTGGAGGAGGGTGGCGGTGATGGACTGAGGCGGCGGGAAGGGGGCTGTGGAGGAGGGTGGCGGTGATGGACTGAGGCGGCGGGAAGGGGGCTGTGGAGGAGGGTGGCGGTGATGGACTGAGGCGGCGGGAAGGGGGCTGTGGAGGAGGGTGGCGGTGATGGACTGAGGCGGCGGGAAGGGGGCTGTGGAGGAGGGTGGCGGTGATGGACTGAGGCGGCGGGAAGGGGGCTGTGGAGGAGGGTGGCGGTGATGGACTGAGGCGGCGGGAAGGGGGCTGTGGAGGAGGGTGGCGGTGATGGACTGAGGCGGCGGGAAGGGGGCTGTGGAGGAGGGTGGCGGTGATGGACTGAGGCGGCGGGAAGGGGGCTGTGGAGGAGGGTGGCGGTGATGGACTGAGGCGGCGGGAAGGGGGCTGTGGAGGAGGGTGGCGGTGATGGACTGAGGCGGCGGGAAGGGGGCTGTGGAGGAGGGTGGCGGTGATGGACTGAGGCGGCGGGAAGGGGGCTGTGGAGGAGGGTGGCGGTGATGGACTGAGGCGGTTGTCACAGGTGGGTTTTATGAAATGTGGCGCGTGCAGTTGTGCGCATGCCCCGTGAGGCTCCTGCAGCGCTGACTCCGCTCCCCTCACCCAAGAGGCTCTGCTAGTCCTGCAACGGGCGGAGCGGGTGGGGTTGGGGCAGGCGCGCCGTTTGTCTT